CCTAAGCGATAGTACCCCTAAAAAAACTACTAAGCGATAGTTAATTCTCAAAAAAAAAAAACTAAGTGATAGTTCATTTCTCAAAAGAAAAAGAACGAAAAAAACTAAGCGGTAGTTCTAAAACACAAACTGGCGGTAATTCTAAAAAGATAAAAGAGTAGTGGATTAACAATCTGTTCAGGTTGTTGGGACTCGGCTCACCAAGCTCGTACTCGCTAGGGTTCGGGTTATATACTCGTAAGCTTAATGAGCGAAAAGCACTGCTCGACTCAGTTCGTTTAAAGCCGCACTCATGAACGCTTGTTTTAACACAAAGAAGGGTCTGCATCTATTATAGAAGTTTACTAGAAGTACAAAGCATTTCAATATAATAAAAAAATACATTGTAATTCATGGATCATTGAACGACCACTACCGTCATCAGAACGGACCGAAGATGTGTCGGATCCGGCCTAACCTTTAAGGACCAACGCCCCCCTGAAGCCGTATCATCGCCATTGAGCCCTTGAATCGATCTGAAGCGCCTAACACCAAATGTCATTGTTGCAGACGCAAGGCGAAAAACACTAACCTCACCGCCCTAAGAAGACAGTAGGAATCTATATACAAACTCTATTGAATCTATCCGAATGGACAAAATAAAGGAGGATCAGAGCCCAGAAGACCAACTCAAGGTGAGACGCCACCATCCGCGTGAAGGCCACCCCTGCGAGGAAAAAACCCTGAACTACTAGCCCGAGCCAAGGTACTGATCTATCCCTTGCGGCCACTAGCCAACGGAGCGCCGGGTAGAGAGGAGGCTGGGCGGCCGGTCCAAAAGGGATTAGATCGTCACCTTGTTGTTAGCGCTAGAGCAGAGGTAAAGATGATTTGACCGATGAAGCTAGAACCTGACGAAGACTTGTTGACATGCATTACTCTCTTTTGCTTCAACTATGAAGTGTTGCGGCCTACGGGCACAAAGTGTGGTTGTGATTTTTATAAAGCAAGACAATGACCATGGGAGGAGGTGCCCTAGTTTCTACCTTCTATGCCTTCTATGGGCTAGGTTGGATTGATTCGCTACTGCAGATATGGTTACCAATGGTTGGCATAAAGTGTCTACCAACGGATTAGTAGGCAGGGTGCCCGTCACTGGTAATTTGTTACCAGTGACGTGCATGTAATTGAGCCCATCACTGGTAAGGTCTTAGCAATGACATGCACGTGTGCAAACCCACCACTAGTATAAAATAATAATAGCGACAAGCTTTTTCTCTGCTTGCTATTAATAACATTTTCATTACTATTTAAGAAAGAAAATATGAGCGGTGGTCTAGGTCATGTGCGTTAGATCGGTGCATATCCATGTCGTGTCACCACGATTGTGGCGAGCAGAGGAGGCGCCGAAGCGGGCGGCCACACGCACACACCCGTTGGTGGCAAGCAGAGGAGGCACCAGTTGAGCACCCAACCAATGGTGTCGGACAAGCACCTCACTGTCCGATCCCCGCTCGATAAGCTCCGAGGCACTCGAGAAGTGGCTACACGAACATGACCGATGCTGGCGAGCAGACGAGGCTCGAAACGGCCACCACACATGCACGTCGGTCGAAGGCCTAGGCAAGGCACGAATGTCACCTCTTGGTCGCGCTACACGCTAGGGATGAAAATGCAAACAAAAGAGGAAATACGAAAGCAAGAAAAAATTACTCAAAAACAAAAACAAAACTTTCCATTATGTGAATATGGAAATATTTTTTAGTAGGGGCCAATGGTTTCTTTATGGCCTAGTCATCAAACAACACACAATGACATAGTGAGCAGAATGGTTCATGTAAGGCCCAGCTTGTACTATCATGCACATACTCAACCTGTCTATAAGTAATTGTCCAATACTACTATAATATTATACTAAGTCAGTAACTTAATCATATAGCCATGCTAACCATTGATTAAATTTGTTGATTTGTTACACACAAAAAAAGTTTGTTGATCTGTTTGTGTTTCTCTCTATGGTTAAAGCGTTTTTTAAGTTTCGTTCAACACCGGCTTTTGTTGTCGTGTCTGCTTCATATTTGCTATGTGTTCGTTTCCAGTAGTATCTTTTTCATTATTCATTTCTGAGGTTTTTGGTTCATTTATGCTTTCGCTCAAAATATATAAAAACAAATGTCGTCAAAGCGATTCCGTCTGTTTCCGCTCTGTTTTCATCCCTACTCGCACGCCCACAATCTCGTTCCCTCTCCCTTGACGCTACATGCATGGGGGCTCCTCTAACTAGCGGTGGCCCCTCCCCATGACGCGACACGCCCCCACGACGCTTGCTCCTCGGTGACATGCAAAAGAAACAGGAAAGGAGAAAGAGAAGACGAAGGCGACGCATGCGTTGGTGGAGAAGGAGGAGACGAGAAGAGAAGAAAAGAGGGCAGGAGC